AAAAAAAAAAAAAAAACTTTATTAACATTAGGCTTGCTTTCTTTAGAAAAGTCTAAAGGTACTAAGGATGATAATAATTCTTAGTTCATTTCAATGAACGATAATTAAGTGTCTGGTACTGTATCTCTGGTACTATATTAGGTGTTAGAAGATACTGTAAACTGTCAAAATGTCTTACATAAAAATGTTTTTATTATGTATTCTCAATAACTTTGTTAGGATTTGAACTGATGCCTGTAACTTTAGAACTCATGTACTTTCTAATAGATAACTATAATCAGTATTATGCCTGATGCTATAAGCATTACCAAATTAAAATAAGCAAAAATTATTTCAAAAATTTAAGTACTTTCAGCATTTAGGCCATCATGTCAAAGTACGTCTATAGTGGGCCATTAAATATATATGTACCATTCTCTGGCTTCAAAGCACCACACCCATCACAAACTCATGTGAAACAGAAGCCGTATGTAACCAGGCTAATTATAAGCAATACCACAACCCATAACTGTCCTTAAAGAGTGAATAGTATAGGCAGTAATTGCTGCTAAAAGTCAGTAACACAGGAATTTAGAAACAGGGTAATAGTATATCTATTTGCAGATATTGATGTACCAAAAAACACCTTGTATTCTATGTTTCATTTTTTTTTTATTGGTCAATTTTTATAGAAAACCATAATAGGGACTTCTATTCTACCTAGCATAGTAGATGTGCAGAAAACTTCTCCTGGTAGAGAACACTTAAAAATGATGAATAACATATTTAAAATATTTTCAAAATCATGGCTGAAATAGAAATGAGGGGGAAAAGGAGATAAGAAATAACAAGAAAGCCAGAGTCCATGAGGCCGAGGGCTTGAAATAGTGTTTGATCTCAGGTCATGTGTAATTCTCGATGACCAGAGATGGATTTCAATGAGCCACAGGGCTGTGGGAGACAGGAGATTATGCATGGAGCTGCGGCAGGCTGGAAGGGTGAACTACTGACTCGGCACAGAGATTTGTCAGGGGTAATGTCATCAGTGAGCAAACTAGGAAATCCCTGCCCTCAGAAGGAATCCTGCCTGCCTCAGTCTTGACTCTGGATGAAAGAGAAAAAAAAAAAGTCTCTCCTGAGAATATCTAATCACTACTCTAAATTTACTCACATTTTGGGACTGGAATTTACATTACCTATATGATCTGAATGTATTTCAACTGAAAATTAAGTTGAAAGTATTTCCTGTTGGTATTGCCCCTAGGAAAATATTTTCTATTATATAAATTGTACTGGGATCACTGATTTTTCATTTGGAAAAGAACGAAAATAGAGTTCTACTTCACAATACTCGGTTGCAGAAAGATTGAGGACTTGAATGTGAATGGCATTTTTCTCTTTATGACCTGAGACAGGAAGGATTTTTTAAAAGAGGCAGAAGCAAGCACAAACTATTAAAAAAATAACAAAAAATTTGACCACGTTAAAATTGAGAACTTGAGTTTACCAAAAGACACCATGAAGAAAATGAAAAATCAAAGCACAAATCAGAAAAGGATATTCACAGCATCTATAATTCATAAAGGAATAGAGGATATATTTTTAAAACTTACAAATCAATAAGGAAATGTGGAAAATACATAAATAGAAATTGATAGAAGCAGAAACATGAAAAACCAATAAACATGAAAAGATTAACCTCAAATGGAATAGGAGGTAAAACAAGAGGGTGGAATAGAATCCTCCAGGAATTGTGCCCCTGACAGGAACATCAATTTGAACAACTGTCCACAAAGAAAATACCTTCCTAAGAGTTAAGGAAACCAGTGAGAGATCACAGTACCTGGTTTCAGCATAATAACAAGAACACATTGAAGAGGGTAGGCAGGACAGTCTTGCATTGCCTATACCACACTTCCCCCATGCAAGGCAGCACAGCATGGACAGACTCCTTCTGCTTGGGGGAAGGAGAGGTAACTGTGCATGGGTCTTTGCCTGGAACCCAGATTGGTTCCACCACAGTAAATCACATCACCAGGCAGAACCCCATGGCCTCTGATTTCAGGCCAGTACCCGTGGATGGAGCTTCTAGACTCACCCTATGTGACTATAGCTAATAATAACATATTCCATTATTTTAAGATAGAGGAGAGGATTTTGAATGTTATCACCACAAAGAAATGATAAACATTTACAGTGACGGATGAGCTATTTACCCTGATTTGATCATTATACAATGTATACATGCATTGAAACATCACACTGTATCCCATAAATATGTACAATTATGTGTCAATTATAAAAAACTTTTTAAAATAGATTAACTTCTGGCCGGGCGCGGTGGCTCA